AAATTGTTAGGTATCTAGTGAGGTATTAGCAGGTTTAGATGGATGGACCTCTACCTCAAAATCAGCAGCTTGGTAAAACCAAGAGCCCAAACTGATAGATCCTGAATACAGGTCAAAAGAATGAGATCTGAGTCCTACATCCTAACTGGAGGCACTGTTATTCTAAACTGTCCCAGAGGTAATAGTAGGTAACGGAGCTCTGTGAAGTTCCTGTTTGGTAGCAGCAGGGTTCTGGAGTAGCCACTGTTTCCTCTTGTAAGAATCAATCCAAGTGGACCTGTCAGTCACCTGGCTAGGAAACCCACACCACGGGCGAAGCCGTCTGTCTAAGAGGCTTTAGAAACAGGCTGAAAACAGCCAAAAATGTAGATCAGCATGATGCTCTCTTTGGCTGTAGCCCAGCAGTCACCCCTTAAGAGTGTGTTGCTCTGCAATGGCCTCTTTGGCCACTGTCCACTCACACTCCTTGAGGGGGTTCTAGTTTCCTCTGTAATAAACCCCACCTCTCTTCTACCCTATGCTCTGTGTATTACTGTGTATTGTCTGAATTACTGTAATGGAGGTCCCGAGGACCAGAAAACCATGGGGAGTCAGAGGGAGATCTCCATGAGAAGATGTTTAAAGGCTTAAGACCGCAGGACAACACACATTGGTAGTTAGAAACATATCGTTTATTTCTGAGACTCTCACATGCATTCACAAGAGCCACAGCTGCAACGTGCCCTATCCTTCACATCTGCCTGCTGAGCATCTTGCGATAGATACCTCACAGCTGTTGTTAACCCTTGTGAAAAGACAATGCCAGTGCCAAGTGTGCCGAGTAGCATGAAGATGATTCAAAGTTTTGAAGTAACTATTATGCAGCAAGAGATCATGGGTAGGGATTTTATTTTACGGATGTTCTTCCATAATAAAACTCTAAAATTTGAATGGTTTCGGACTTGGACACCAGGAAGAAGCTAGCAGGACATTAAGGTGAATATTAGTGAAACACTGGAACCTTGAAGAAGCTCCTAGTTGGGTCCAAATGGGCTTTGATATAACTGTAGGGGAGAGTTTAAAGAGAAACTGTTAGTGGAAAGTCGAAGTGGTGTTTGTTATATAGAGACAAAAGTTTAGTGACACTGTCACCTACAGTGATGTGGAAAATAGAAAGTGTGCCTAATCAATTGGCTATTGTAGCCCAAGTCATTTCCTGGTAAAGTGTTGAAGGTATGGCCTGATATCTTTGCAGCGTCAAAGAGAAGCTAATCCGAGGGAAGAACTCTTCAAAAAAACAGTATCTAGTTTTAAAATCTCCAGCTAAAGGTGGCAAACAATGCTAAAATGAAGAGATAGCCTCCAGACAAAGACAAAATCCAGGATGTGGCAAACATCACTGATGGCGTGAGAGTATGACTGTCCAAGCCTTTATTTAGAATCAAAACTGCCCATGGCAGGGTTCAGAGCATCAGCAGATGAAAACAGGGCTTCAAAGATGCCCCTGGGCATATGCCTCAGTAGCATGAGCAGAAGGACAGTCTCAGTAGAGACGGGCTCGTTGTGAAAAGATCTGTAGCTATGAATTTTGTGTAACAGAATAAAATGAATTGTATTTATAACTTACTGTTAAAAGTATTACAAGCAAGGATGGAAAAAGCAAAACTTAAAGTGGAATTCAGACCTCCTAGAATCTATTGTTATAAATCAAAGCAACAATACTGTACAGTTTCAAACATGTAAAAAACTTTTAAAAATTAATTGATTTACTTTATGTATATGAGTGCTCTATCTGCATGTAGACCATATACATGGTTGTGGGCCACCATCTGGTTGTTGTGGATTGAACTCAGGACCTCTGGAAGAACAGCTAGTGCTCTTAACCTCTGAGTCACCTCTCTAGACCCTAAAACATGTCTTACTTAAAACAGAAAAAGAATTAAGAGTCCAACAGATGAACTCAAGAACCGTGGGAAGTCCTTCCCACACAGCAATAGACCTGAACACCCTAACCAAAGAACTAACCCTACATGTATGCAGCTGGGCTTAGGGATCCTGATGGAGCAGTAGCCATCAGAGCTTCCTATCTTCTACTGGAGCAGACTGTCTGTCCCAGTTCTTCTGAGCCTATCTCACCATTATATCTGGGGGTCTGGGAAACACTGGTGTTAAGATGAACAGGAGTTATACTCGAGAAGCTTAATTTAAAACATTATATCGGGAGACTCACATCTGCAGTCAGTTTAGATGACTCTGGAGTAATGGTATCATGGGAAGATATGTCTACTATCAGAAAAGGTGAGACAAGTTTACCTCTAGGAGATACATGGATCACTGGAGACCAAAAGGCAGACTATGGTAGCCTACTAGAAGCTCCCCAAAACTCAAATCTTTTGTTATTATGCCCTGGGTCAGGTTCTTCCCACACTGGATAGAACAATATTATATCTATGACCATAGTCTATGTTGGAAATAACAATATATGGTTTAGGTCATAAAAGATATTATGCCTTCTACCATGTTCTCTCTTGGCATGGGAAAATTCAGCTGTCTTAATAGGACAGTCAAATAGTCCAATAAAAAGTAGTGCAGGCTCCTCCCAATGGCACTGCGAGCAAGCTCAGTTGTAAGCAAATATGGCATTTGCAGATTAGCCTTTAAACGCCTAGAGGACTGTCAATGTCCTTGCTTACATTTCTAAGCCTGAGCCACGCACAGTTAAGCCCCTCCTGGATTCCTGGATTCCTTGTTCCTGGGAATTAAGTGAGACAGCAGATGGCTATTATCTTCTACATTTTACAGGTAATTTTCCATGAAGTAATAGATTAAAATAAGGCTATCTCTAGATGTTCCCAAAGACTACTATGCTTGGAGAACTAGATGGTTCTACTTTCACTGGGGACAAGTGAAGAAGCTCATCTCACTGACTAGGTCACCAGACCTTTACGAAGTCTCTTTCTAACACTTCATTTATTTCTGCCTCTAAGACTTTCTCCACATAACGTTCAAAAACGAATTGCGAAGTAGCACATGTTAAATCTCTGACTTGTGTTTTATTACGTTGAAATTAAGAAGCACCAATAATAATAATAACAATATGTTACTTCCTCTTGCCAAAAACTCTGGGACCCATAAATGTCCTTTTTGGGGGCTTCTTGCATGCTAGATACGTACTCTACCACTGAGCTACACTCTCTACAATGTTTCTTAATTTTGTCCTGAGACAGTGCCTTATTAAGTTCTCCAGGTAGATTTGCAAATAGGCAGTTGTCCAGCCTCAGCCTTCCAGGAAGCTGTGACCAAAAGTGTATGCCACCATGCACAGTCAAAAATACGTTTAAAAATGTATTTTCATTTCAAAGATTTTGTAAATGCAATGCCATTGTGCTCCTAAAGCCTAAATACTTTTATTTTCAGCCAGAGGAAGGAAATGGAAATCACCAAGCAACAGGCACTACTCACAGATCTACTAATGCTGAAGCTTGAGAGGACATTGACCAATTCCTTTTTCCAGAATGGTGTATCAACCTTTGTTCTGAATGAAGACATGGAAGTAATTTCCAGAGAAAATAGTTTAAGGAAACTAGAAATGTGTACAGAATTTAATTGGAACAAAGCAAATCGATTTTTTCCAACATTCCATAGAATTGTTCTGAGGTTAAAAACAAACAAAATCTCCAAACTTTCCAAAAAATATATTTAACAACAGCTGCACAGAGACTAAACATATATTATTTTAAGGGACGTCAAACATTATTTAAAATGTTCATAATCTACAGCCCTTGATGTTTTTGTGGAGATCTGGAAATCCTAGCACTCTTATCTAAAGAAAACAGAGACCACCTGTCTCTGTCTCCTTCCTTCCCTGCCCCCACTCCTTTCAAAGATAAGATCTACGTAGCCCTGGCTGTCCCGGAACTCCCTCTGTAGCCAGTGCTAGCCTCAAACTCAGACATCCCATGTGCTGCTCACTGCTTCCCAAGTGTGGGATTAAAGGTAGCATTAAGTGCGCAGCTACTTTCTCTTCTTCTGACGCACTTCTCCTCTGCCCCACTAGATCGAAATGTGCCATTTCCTCTCGCAATTACAAGTTTGTTTGTTTGTTTGTTTGTTTGCTTTTTACTGGAGAGACAACCATAGAGGGTAGAGATGGGAAAGCCTACCTTGCCAGCAGCCCGCCAAAACGTGTTACTTGCTTAAGATATGGTACGATCTTCAAAGGGTCATTGTCAGCGCTAACTACAATTTGGGCTAAAATAATAAAACTTAGTGATCACAACAGTGTAGGCTCCTTTACATTTAATCCACAATTTCCTACAAAGTAAATATCATCATTATTTCTATTTTACATAGTTTATTTTTGTTTGTTTTTAAAGTAGAAAAACAGAAAGGTCAATAAATTTGTCCATGAATACAAAACTAAGTGGTGGTCTTAGGATTCAGGGACTTTGTGAATAAAAGTCTAAAACAGGTTTTGAAAACACCACATAATGATCCAGCACAGTCTGGGGCATTTTGCTTAACATGCAACGGTCCCTTTCCATTGTCTTGGAGACAGGTCTGAATCTAGAGGCCCTTAGTAAATGGGGGAGCTGAAATCTCATTTCATAAATACGGTCTCTCTGCACCTCCCTGCACCTGACACAGCTACCTCCCAGAGGTTCTGAGTCCCTAAGAGGCTGGAATGCAAATAGACTCTGCAAACAACGCGACGCATAGTATTTGGGTCGAAAACGCTGCCTGTTTGCTCAGCCTGACTCTGAGACTCCTGGAGTCTGGAAGAACAAACACAGCCCTTTTGGGGGCCGTACGGTAATCCCAGGAGGGCGGGGTCAGGCTGATAAAGAGCCTCGGGCCTTGGTCCCTTGAAGAATCCTAGGACTGTAATGAGGCGGGGACAGAGGCCTTGGTCCCTTGAAGAATCCTAGGACTGTAATGGGGCGGGGACAGATTGACACTCCAGTGACATAAGTCCTCAGGGACCTCAGGCTAGTGGTTTTCGGACAGGTTGACACCTCCAGGGAGGGCGTGGGGAAGGCGGGGCCCACCGCCTTCTGCTCGGTGAGGGAGAACCTGCGCTGGAGCTTCTCCTTCCGGGAGGGATGCTCAGCCCCGCGGGAAAACGCAGAAAAAGGCTCTTGCCGCTTTAAGTGACTCAGGAAGTGAAAGGAGGCCGCTGACGGCGAGGGGCAAGTGGAACCGGGGCGGCGCGGGTCCGCGGCGGCCGCGATCTTGCCGGGCCACGGAGGCTGAGCTGCGCGGCGGGCGCGGGGGCCGACGGGGCGCGGGCAGCCGAGCCGGAAGTGGCGCGTGAGGGACGAGGCGCAGCGCGGCGCGCAGCGGAGAGAGGCCGAGTGGGCGGCAGGCCCAGCGCTGTCGGCTGGTCGGGCCCAAGGCCTCAGCGGTGCAGACGCGGCGCGGCCCAGCGGGGCGGGCGGTCGGTCCCCGGGGAGCAGGCGGGCGTGCGTGCGGAGGCCCGCGCGGTGCAGGCGGAGAGCACGTCAGCCGCTAGGCCTCGGCCGCGGCCCTGCAGCCACATGGCCTCCGGAGTGGGCGCGGCCTGCGAGGAGCTGCCTCCCGACGGCACGTGTGACGAGTGCGAGCCCGACGAGGCGCCCGGGGCCGAGGAGGTGTGCCGCGATTGCGGCTTCTGCTACTGCCGCCGCCACGCCGACGCGCACCGCCAGAAGTTCCTCAGCCACCGCCTGGCCGAGTACGTCCATGGCGCCCAGGCGTGTACCCCGCCTGCCCGCGAGGACGACGAGGTCCCCGAAGACGTCGAGGCCCAAGGGGAGCCCGAGGGAGAGGTAGAGAGCGAGGTGGGGGAAGAAGAGAGCGAGTCGGAGGAGGACAGTGAGTCGGAAGAGGAGAGCGAGACGGAGGAAGACAGTGAGGATGAGAGCGAGGAGGAGAGTGAAGAAGAAGACAGCGAGGAAGAGATGGAGGATGAGCAGGAAAGCGAGGCGGAGGAAGACAACCAAGAAGGAGAGTCCGAGGCAGAGGGAGAAACTGAGGCAGAAAGCGAATTTGACCCCGAAATAGAGATGGAAGCGGAGAGAGTGGCCAAGAGGAAGTGTCCTGACCATGGGCTGGATTTGAGCACCTATTGCCAGGAAGACAGGCAGCTCATCTGTGTCCTGTGTCCCGTCATTGGGGCTCACCGGGGCCACCAGCTGGCCACACTCGATGAGGCCTTCGAAGAACTGAGAGTGAGTATCGGGCATTCACAACATAGGTCTAAGGGGACCAGGACCCCCAGTTCCAACTCAGATAGCTAGCTGTGACCACATTCATTTTCCTGTCTCTCCAAAACAAAAACAAACAAACAAACCAAAAAAAAAAAAAAAAAAAACGAGTCACCTTGTTGGGAGCAGTGCCAATCCTACCATTTTGGTTGAAATTGTCAAGGTGTCGATTCTCATCTGAGAAAATACAAGTACATAGAAAATCTTGGGTATAATTTCTGAAAGTTTGCAAATCTCTGCTCCCTGGATCCCAGATTGAGCGTTCCTTGGTTCCGTGCGAATTTTGACGCCACTTAGGCCATTTTTCACATCATCACCATTGTTAGGGTCAATGTTTTGACTTAGTGCTCTTGCTATGTTTTTTGGCAAAACCAAGTAGCTGGTTCTTGTGAGAAGCCTCTGAAAGTGGTGAACTAGACGATGATTTGGTGTGTGCCTTTAGTTGCCGTAGGCTCTTCGTTTTTTCAGCCTTAGTAGGAAGGTGTGTAGCTGGAAGGTTGTATTGGTCCAGGGAAGGAGGCTTTCATGTCCACTGTCTAGACTTTGATGTGTTATCTTCGACTTATTTTTGGTCAGCGGTAGACTTTTAGTAACTATTTGTTGATTGCATTTGGGTTGACTTTCTGGATACAGTGGATGACTATAACCAGTAAGAACCGTCTTTCTGTGTGTCGTGTTCATTAAGAGTTGGTAAATGTCATATTAGGACTTTGGTTTCCCTAAGCAGTCTTACAACCACCGGTCTCAGAATAACTAATATTTTGATAGTGAAAATACTCCATATTGATGTTTCCCTTATGCCTGTTTTTAATGTAAAATACACGTACAAAGTGTACAAAATATGTAGTCTATTAATAACTACAAAGCAGATACTTGAGAGACCATCACCCAGATCAGAAATAGAACATGATTACGAATGTTGACACTCTTCATACCTCTTTCCTGAGTCTTCTTTTGCTAACCGTTTTCCTGACGTGGGCCAATGCTTTTCTTACTTATCTTTATCCTACAGCATCTGTGTGCATTTCCGAACTTGAACTTGACATTATGGTTTTTATGTAATTGTAGTGCAGTATTTGTGAGATTCATCCATTGACTGGCTGCGGTTTATTTTTCATTGTTGTATTGAACTCCATTTTATGGATATGCCACAAGTTACTGTATAAATGAACATTTGACTTGTTTCCAGGTTCTCCAATTTCTTGCTGTTACAACTGATGCAAGTGTAACGTGGTGGCATATGTCTGTAATTCTAGCATTCCAGAGGTGAATGCAAGAGGACCAGAGTTCAGTATTAATCTCAAGTCCATAGTGAGTTTGGAAAACCTGTCTCAAAAACAAAATGACACATCTTCTCAAAAAGTACTGCAGGTGTAAGCATTCCCGGTCATGCCTCCTGATTCCCATTTTCCTGTATTTAAATGGAAATAGTACCCAGTGTTACCATCTGTTTTCCAGGTGGTGGTTGTAGTTGGCATAATCATGAAGACTTTTCCTGTTGCCCTGAGTCTTCACCGCCACTTGATATTAACAGTACCTTTCATTTTTCCCAGAGTGGTGACTATGTAATGAATGATGTCATATTGTGGTTTTAATTGCAGTCCTTTTGGTTTCTGTGTATCTTTTGCATTTCCTCTTTTGTGATGTGTAATCAGATCAAAAGAGCAAACTCAGTATTTGGTTATCTATCTTTTTTCTCACTAACTTATGTATGTACACATATACACGTGTCTATACACATTGTTTTTTATTGTCTCTATTTATTTCAGATATCTTCTGTCTCATGGTTTTTCCTTCCTTTTCTAATATAGTAATAATAGTATGAAGCACTGAGTACCCAGGAGCCCTGCAAGTATTAGGACATAAGAAAGCTGAAGGGAAAGAGGGTGGCTTGATATCTAGACAGACTCACCCGTAAGTTCCACTTCAGTCTCAACTTCAGAATTACTTTCTTGTTCAGTCTGAGATGGCAGCTTCCTTTTGTGCACTTCTTCCTGTTGGCTACTTCGGTATCTATAATCTGGGGCTGAACTGTTGGGTGGTGGCAATGAGCTCAGGTACTCAGGGACCTGAGGAGAAGGCAGAGGACAGACAAGAACAAAGCTTTAGTTGTGGTATGTGGAGTGGAGATGAGAAATAGAAAAGCCTGGCCCAGGGGAGGCAGGTCCACAGAGAGAGACAGACAGACAGACAGTCATTATAATAGAGGGCAAGACAACATAGTATCAGGGGAAAATAAAACTGACTTTTTTTTTAATAAAAAAAATATGGATTTGCTTTTTTTTTTTTTGTGGGTTTGAATATTTAGAAGAGAGGTGTGAACAGTTGCTTCTTGGCCTTTTGGCCAAGAGACTTACAAAGTAGAGGAGAGTTACAAACAGTGTGATCTGCTGTGTGAGTTTAGTGAAAGAGAGTGATTTTAGCCAGAGGCATGGCACCACAATGGTTTATTGGAGAAAATGGTAGTTGAGGCATGCTTTGAAAGATGGGAAGGAATTAATAGGTAGGTATGGTGTTAGATAAATGCTCTCTATGTTACCATAGCAACAATCGGTATTCATTTATTCTAACCCAAAATATTGGTTATTATGTCAGTGTTAGACTATTCCCTTTGTGTTATTACCTCTCATAAGTCTAGTAGTATGTTAGTCTTCACTATGTTCCCAGCACCTACTACAGGGCCTATTGGATAATTAACACACATGAAATACTTGATAAATGTATGATACGAAGTATAATAATTTTATCTAATAGCACTAAAGAAGTGATAAAGACATTGTACTGTAGTGTATATCAGTGTTTATATTGGAACTAAGTTCAATTATACCTGTGATGGAATAACTTGGAATCCTAAGCTTGCAGCAGTTCATATAAGATAGATGCCTATTTCTATAAGTGACATCTGGATGTAGGAGTCTAAGATTGGAGGAAGCATGAAGTTTTATCTTGGCTCTTGCCAGCTCTTCTCTGCTATCTTTGTTACAAACTGAGATGGCCATTGAAGTCTAGCCAGCACGCCTAACTTCTAAGATAACAGGTAGAAATGAAAGACACACCCCTCTATTTTAATGTTTCTTTCCAGAAGCATGAATTCCTGCTTAGGTTTCATGGGGCAGAACTCAATCCCATAGTTTATCTAGTTGCAAGGGAGACTGGGAAATAATCACGTCTCCGGGCTACAGTCTGACAAACTAAAAGGTTTTGTTATCAAGGAAGAATGTTGAAGTCTCTGCCTCATTATCCTTACAGTCCTAGCAGTCATGGTGGGAAATTCAGTTAGCTTCTGAGTCTTGGTTTCTTATCTTTCTCTTTTTTTCCTTTTCTTTCTTTCTCTCTCTCTCTCTCTCTCTCCCCCTCCCTCCCTCCCTCCCCCCTCTTTCTTTCTCTCTCTCTTTCTTTCTTTCTTTCTTTCTTTCTTTCTTTCTTTCTTTCTTTCTAGGGTTTCTCTGTGTATCTCTGGCCTTGAACTTCCAGAGATCTGCCTGCCTCCCTGAGTGCTGGGATTAAAGGTGTGCACCACCAATGTCTGGCTGAGTCTTGGTTTCTTAACATGGGCATAATTGTCCCCCTCTTTGGGACTGTAGTAAAGAGAAAAAGTAAATTCATATATAGGGCCTAGGACAGTGTGCATGATCTTCTAAGCTCTCAGAAACTGATGGCTCTCATTACCATAGAAAGCTCTGAGGCTGTCTTTACTCTGAGTCCAATTCCAGGCAAGTTAGTCTGGCAGCCGGAGCTGTTCTGGACACCCAAGTTTTCTTTGGTGGAAACTGTTCAGCCCCCTCTCCTTCTGTTCTTTCTGCCTGCTCTAATTGGCTGAGTTGATAAGGTCTGAAAACTTGTCTTCAGAGAAGAGGTTCCTATATATTTTAGTGTTCTGCTGTTAGATTATGCATTAGCTCCCCCAAAACACATCTGCTAGGTCTATTTTAGGTTCACAGGTTTGGCTGTTGTCCTCTTCAGATTCTGTTCTATACTCTGTAACTGTGGGAAGTTTTTACAGGAGTCAAGGGGTGATGGGAACAATTCTTTACTTTCTAGGTAGAGAATAGCCTCAGTTACTCTAGTAGATTGTTATGGAGAGAAGCTTCTATAGATATTCCCATTCTTCTTCCAGGACTTTGAGTCTTTATGAACACTGGCAGGGTATAAGTTGTGTTGAATTGTAGATTCTGGCTCAGTAATCATAGAGAGTAAAAATACTGACCTTTGGAGATGTAAAATTAAAAGAGACTAACATTTGCTAAATTTTGAGACTTTTCTAGAGATAAAGGAAAAAGTAATAACTGCCATTTATTGAGAAATTTGAATACATTTCATGGTTTTACACTTGATCCTCACTCTAGCAAGCTGTGTTACCCTGATACTCATTTTATAAATGAGGGGAAAGATGTTTAAAGAGGTTGAATTTTGCCAGATCACTCACTGTCAATGCAGAATTACAATTTTAATACAAAGAAAATAAGAGCTTATTCCAGAGCCAAGTATGAGTGACCATTTCCCAGGAACACAAATTCAAGGTACTTAAACACTTTATTTCAAGATAGTAACAGGCTCATGAAGTGTTTCTAGTAACAGAACAAAAAAAAAAAACTATTGATAAAAGTGTCTTTAAAATCCATTGGGAGCATCAGGTGTACAGGTTACAGCAAAGGGGGAGGTTCCTGCAGATACAATTTGATAATATTCTTAGCCTTTGAGTTTGTAGAAATTAAAGTTTGTTTCCTAAAAAGATCTTGCCTGATACTTACAAGGATGCTAGTTGTAATACAGAATTGGGCAATAAATAGCTGTTTTTTTGGGGGGTGGGGTTAAAGATAGCACAAATTAATATGGTTTTCAACAAGCAACATCCCAGCTTTCCACAATCACAGGAGTTGTAATGAGTTCATCAGCCTTGTAGAATATTTAACGGAGTTGGGTGTTTTCATTGTTGTTGGCTACTTGCTTTTGTTTGTTTTGTT